TTTCAGTCATGTAAAAAGTTTTCATTAAGTTTAATAAAGATAAGAGCAAGGTCTCACCTTAAATATTAAAAAAAAAATAAAAAATGAATTCAAAATTTTGTTTTTTTTTGTAAAAAAATTTGATATAGGTAATTGATAAAAGAAGTTTATTATATTTTTTAATAATTATAAATATATTTTTTATAAATTAAAATTAAAAATTATAATATAAATAAAATAATTTATTTTTTAATAAAATTTGATATTTGGTATATAATCTTAAATAAAATTTATTTTATCAAAAAATTTAATATAAAATATTGTTGTAAAGTAGAACTAAAGATCCAAATACTGTAAAAAGCTTTTATACATTATTAAAATTTGTTAACAAATAAAAAAACAAATATTATAAAAATAAAACATAAATACAAAATATCCATTTAGTCAAAATTTGATAATAAAAAACATTTTAATAAAACTTATGTGTTAGAGCATAAACTATTAGATTTGGATCGTAATTAACAATAGATTTAAGTGTGCAATGAAGTAAGTGCAAGAAATTTAAATTCGGTATTGAATATTTGAAATTGGAACTTACATTAATAGAAAAATAATTTAATTTTATGTATAGCAACTAAATTATTATAATTTGACTATATCAATCTAACTACAAGTGACAAAATGTTAGTTAACACACCACAGGCCATGTTGAAGCAAATATCCGAATTCGTAGGTTCACAACATTAAAGAAAGAAATCCGGGTTATAAATGTTAAAATTTTTGTAATTACATCTAGGTTAAATAATCTATTTTTCTTCAGCTTTTCTTTTTGAAATAAAATCAGTAACTAATTCTTGATACATTTCATCATGTAACCCTTTTACATGTTGGTAATGACCGTGAATACGAAGAAGCTCGGACTGCAACTCTGATATTTGTGTCTGAAGCATGGTAGCTGTGTCACCTTTCTACAAATTGATAATAAAAATAGTCTAATGCTTTACGTACCATGATATAAATAAATTTATATGAAGTACTTACTCTAAATTTGCTTTGAGTGGATTTGGCTTTTTGCAAATCATGAGACTCATATGATGCAACAACTAAATAATTATGAGAATGTTTATAACATCAATAAAAAACGCGAATATAAATGAATTAAAAATTATTACCTTGGCTATTACAATTATAATTATATATGTCAATTTCCTACAAGACAAATAGTTAATCATAAAAAGTTTAATGATGACTAACATTGGAAAATTTTCAGAATTATGTATACCTTTGTATTATCACCTAAAACCATTATTACAGATTCTTCAATTTCAGAATCTTCTTTGATCGATATTCCTTGCGTTCTCTTAAAAGGTTGTATTGGTTGTACCATAATTTTAGCCGGTGACAGGCCGAGATTGAAAAGATCCGGTGGCTTTATAAAAGTTTGTATGTTTGCGATTGGGCCTTCATTAAATAATTTGTTAAAATTAAATAGACAACTGAACAACGTAATACATTTTATGGACTTACATACCTTTGAGATGTGTAAAATTTTTAATCATTTGCCTACTGGCAATATCCCACACTTTCACTGTTTCATCCTGGGAACCTGATAAAAGAAGAGTAGCATCGTATGAAAGTGAAAGGGCCGTAATTGGCATGCTAACATAAAATAATGAAAATTATAAATCATCATAAATAAATTCTCATGACACATTCCTGAACCAATATCATATAAAGACTGACCCATGTCCTTGAAATATTAAACCTCTCTTATCATGTTCAGATGCAACATCTTCGACAACACCAGCGCCTCCCACTGCTGCTATCTCAAATCCAGGCTGCCCACTTGCATTATAAGTCCTATTCTCAAGTTTTCTGTATAAGTTTACCTGATAAATAAGATTATCCCTACCACCGGCGAAAAACATTCTTTCAGCAGGATCAAACACAATAGCATTTATAGCAGTGGGAAATACGAAGGTCGTTAGAAGATGTCCAGATGACAGGTCCCATAGCTAATCATGGAAGGTTTATAAATGAATATTCATAGATAACTAGACAAGTTTGTTCATTGAATAACACACACTTTACAAGTATGATCCAATGACGAAGTCAGCACTCTTGCGGTACGAAAGCTACCAATCCCACATATTATATCGGTGATTGGTAATGAATGTTCAGACCATGAATGAAATGGAGCTGGAGATTCATCGGTTGAAACATTTAAAATACTATAAAGTTGTTGTAATAAGTAACAAACGTGTTTTTCATCATATCCATGAGTAGCATATTATAATAATTACAACCTGCATGTCAACCAGACATTTACTCCTGCATCTTCACTGCCTGATATCAATGCTGTATCGTCATTCGTAAATTTGAGGACACTGATCTTTTTATAATGAGCATCGTATACATTACATAATATTCCGGTTGAAAGCTTTGAATTTATAAAATTTTGATTAAGTACTGAAATAAAGTGATTGAATGACTGAATATAATATTATTTATAGTATTTTTTTATCTACCTCCCAAATGTAAATTTTTCCATTATCGGTACCACAGGCACAATACGCGCCTTGATTTGAAATAGCCACCGAGACTAATTTCTCAGGACATATAATTTTGAGATAGGGTTGATCCTATATCGAAGATATAACACATATCTAATAAAACATTCGGTTGTTTTAACACATTGCTATGAATCAGTCATTTGTATCCAACCTTCTGCCACGAATATACGTGTAATATAGCTTTGTCAGTTTGTGCAGCTATAATTAAACCAACTCTATTGGGTTGTCCTGGAAATGGAATTAAAGCCAAACCATGCTGGTAACATGTATTTTGTTTGAAAGAAGTTAATAAAGTTCCAGTTCTAAAATCCCAAACTTGTATAGTTGAATCTGAAAGCGAAGTTGTAAGAACAAGTTCTGTCAACATTTTGTTCAAAATCTTATCAGCAAAATTTTTAAATGCAAAAAGATCGGACCTATTTTATTGGCCGATTCATAGATGCTGTACTACACACTTTCTCGAATATAAAAATTTCAAAGATCAAAAATTTTAATCCTCCTCTTTTAATCATCCCAAATTTACGGTTAGTAAGGTTAACATCCATCTAAAATTCTCTTTTTTTTTAAAAAAAAAATTCACTAATCAAATTGATATCAGAGATGTCTAAGCAGAAAAAAACTGCCACACGTAGCGCGATCTCTGATGTCGTGACGAGAGATTACACTATTCATTTACACAAGACCGTCCACGGCAGGTAACATCAATGCATAATTATCGTTGCGTATTTATAGGCATTGTAAAAAAATAGGCTTCTTTATCAACTTAAGCTTTGGATAATTTTATGTGAGAACAATAAAGATGGTAACCTTGTTAAAATTTAATTGTAAATAGGAGTTTCAAGCAACGTGCACCTCAAGCTGTAAAAGCCATTAAAGCTTTTACCTTCAAACACATGGGCACTAAAGATGTTCGCCTCGATCCTCTGTTGAATAAAGAGATTTGGAAACAGGGTATTAGAAGTGTTCCTCATCGTATGCGTCTTCGCCTTTCACGTCGACGTAATGACGAAGAAGATGCCAAAGAGAAATTATATACTCATGTTACTTACGTCCCTACATTATCATTTAAAGGTATTATTATAATTTATATTGATTTATTTTACATTTATTGAATCATAATATTAATATATATATTTTATCATTAGGGCTTGAAACTAAAGAAGTGGATCAATGATCATTTTCATGATTATTAACTAATAAAAGCATGACTTTTTCTAAAATGAATAGAAAAAATATTTATATCCAAATGATTAGGCGGTTTTTTTATTATAATTAATATAACCGACACCAACACATGTCAATAGTAACGTGTTCGATTCAGTGTCTTGCTTTATTTTGAATGTAACATCAAATAAATCTCGAATATCTCGAAGATATTGTATTCTTGAGTATCAAATAAAATAAAATAAAAAAATGAAAAAAAAGTCAATAATAATTTAATAAATTATTTCAATACAAACATTTATACGGCATGATCAACTTACGTGAAAGCAGTCAATTGTCCTAATCTAATTTTTGATACATCTTCTGGGCTCAAGACCATAAATAAAAGCATCAACCATTGATTCGGCGAACCGATGCATCCACCTTTACGTATTTCAGAAAGCAAAAGTTTCGCGGTTCGTTTTCCGATATCTTCTGGTGTTTCACCTGGATTTGCTGCTTGTTCCGCACTTATAAGAGCACTTGTTGTTGATTCGGCAACCAAAGAAAGTGCAAATCCTGGCGATCTGTCATAAATATTATTTGATTTTATAATAGCTCAAAACTTAATTTTATACATGTACATATTTATTACCTACTTTCCAGATTCTTCACCTTTATAAACATCTGTATATATGTACACATCGGGAATATATCTATTCAGTACTGATCTTGCAGCATCCACCATCCTATTAGCATTTTGAGGTGATACACGTGTGCAACATCTAAAATTGATCGACTTGTATTAAAAAAAAAGTTATCAGTTATAGAAAAATACGCTACGCGATACCTACGCGATACCACGGATACGTTTTATCCGACCTTCATCAGTGAACTGTATCGGTTTAAGAGCTTTTACGATTGGACACTTGAAATTGACTTCACCACCACCGAGTGGTGGAGCACCACGTTTAGTAATCTACAATTGCAATAATAAATTAAAATAAAAAATATATATTTATATTCGCGATAAAGATTTAAAATGATTTGTAAAAAAAATTAACCTTCAATTCCAAGCCTTCTTCTATACCAAATCTTTTAAGTTGTAACAGAACAGCCGTTCGCATAATATCCATCTATAATCTCAAAAAACATGCGTAAAATTTGATCAATCTCGTGTCATTCCAATGAGTCTATGGATTGTAAATTTTTGAACAATGACAAACCGATATGTCCACATTATCATTTGTTATTCCAAAAAATGTAAGATTAAATGGATCTTTTGCAAAAGGTGCTAATGCAATCATCGGTTCTAAGAAATATCCAATTGCACGAGCTGTACCACAGTCATGACTTATCCTTCCACCTGCAATTATACCAGGTTTAAATAATACACTTGTACCTGGTTTAACAGAAATTTAAATTTTAAATCGTTTTCAAAGAATATAGTTAAATTTTTTAAAAAAAAAGCCTTCTACATAATCCAACCTGTATAATTGATCTCAATAATTGATCCATTTGTAACTTTATCCAATAATCTTAAAAAATTTGCTTCAAAATCTGGATTTCAATTTTACAAGATTATTAATAGAATATTTTGTTATATATACACACACATATATAATATACATATATATATCTTTAAAAATTCACCATTTATTCCAGGATCATTATCGTCTGAACGAATTTTATTAATTTTAACGGTTTTCCCACTTAAAGTAGCGAGAACCAATCTTTGTCTAAAATAATTATGACCGGAAAATTTTAAAATTTTTGAGGCCATTCGTGAAATAAAATTTTTTATCTAATCTATTGATTCAAATATCTATGTATATGTTAAATTAGTGATACAAATATACTTACCGGAAAAACCCGGACGAATCCCATAAAAAACTTGAAATTTTGCAATTATTTATACTGTATACGCATAACTGTAAGGATATACTGTTGTATACGTATTACCGATATTTGTTAAAATAAGAATTATTACTGTAAAGTCTTTGGAATATGATTTTGGGGCATGGACTGTATAACAAATAGTTTGGAATTTTGCCGGCACGTTTCGTGCTAAGATGTTGGCATTTCATTCTGATTGGCTGCTTTTTTTTGTATCACTCGATATATAGTTTTATGCAGTATAATTAAATTGGTTAAACCAGTTCGAACCAGTTTATGCCCCACAACTTGAAATAACTGTATCGGGTATGCAACGGTAAAACAGAACGTACACTTCTGCACTTAGGAACAACCCTTTCTATGCTCACGAATGGTGAATAGCACCATATAATTTCAAATTTAAGCAATTCCTTCTTTGAACGTCAAAATTCTGGTAATGTTGGTAACTTTTTGCTTATTAATTAATAATGTCTTCATAATGTCCACTAAAGTTACTAAAATTAGGATCTCGGACAAATAACGTGAGAACTACAGAGGGTTCAAGCAATCTTCGTGGGAATATTGAAATTCAGATGTTAACCTGGGGACGTCCTCGTGCAGTACGACAATATTTGCATAGGAACACTTAGTAAATACGCCTTCGGGTTAAAGTTGGAGTTCATGTACCCCTGAAAATATATTAATAGTCTATAAATGGTATTGGTACTTTCTGCAATATATTTCAATATATGAAAAAATGCAAATTCCTTTCTATAGAAATCAAATAAATCATATTTGACAAATTATTTCTTTGTTTTTTTTTCTTTTTTGTGATTTTTATAATTAACGCGATCTATTCAAATGTAGATCTTCGAACAATGTTTCAAGTGAGAATATTGCAAATTAAATAAAATTGCTCGATATTTTACTTGGTAAGATACAAGCTGATCATTTCGTATAATTATCTTTAATACAGTAATATTGATAAGTTCGTATCCTGTCATATTACGGATTAAAAATTATCCGTGGTTTTGTTAAACGGGCAAGAATAAATTTGTTTGTTTCTTTCTTTAATCAGCAAGCTTTCTAAGATAAAGATTATATTGAAAAAAAAGTTGCAGAACTACTGTATGATTTACTATGAAACACTATGAAACAGATCTTAGCTATTTTTTAAAGGTTTCTGTCAAATATTGCTCCGATTAGTAATCTATAATGAAGTCGCGTGAGAGCCAAAGGTATTATGAAGAAAGGAATATTTGTCGATCATGGTTTAATTTTTGCCAAATCTATAACATAATGTATTGTCTATTGTCTTTGACAATCTTTGGTCTCGTGATATCGGAGCAGATTAAAATGATTTTGACGTTAATCGACATTACACGAGTGAGGACTTTTTAAATATCAGGTGGAAGAGATAACTTTTTTTAATAACATAATAACATTCAATTTTATATTACATAAAATAATATTACATTTATTGATATACACTATCTTTTTCTCGTGATTCTTACTTTTTTTTAAATGCTTAATTAAAAAAAAAAAAAAAACTGTCATGATATTCATTGGCTTCAACTTAAATAAATAAATAAAGTGAATACATATACAAAATCATATGGAAAAAATTTACCGGAATCCTTATAAATATGGATCTTAAAAATGAAATGACCTTATGCTATACCACCGATGAAAGTGGAGCGTAAAACACTCCCATTCTTATCATCGGCTTCATATATGTTTTTTAACTTGTTCACCCTTCCTTTTCGTTTTCCACCGTATGTGACTCATACACTGACTGTAAATCTTACTTCCGGTATTTTCGGTTTCAATTTTCTCATGTTTGTCTTGTTTGTTATTCAATATTATTTCTTTTTTTTTTTTTTTTTTTGTCTGTCGTAAAAGGTTGGGATTGGATTGAAAAAGTCTTAATTTGTTTTTTTTGTTCTAAATTGTTAGTTGTTCTTAGGCATTCCTTTACCATCGATTCCAACCATTCCAACAAAAAAATTCCATCCCTCCGAATTATGAAATAAGAGAAAGTAAATAAGGGAGGTGAAAAGAAACAAAAAAAAAAAAAGCAAAAAAAAAAGAGAGAGAACGTATAATATAAATCGAAAATTTTTAATCGAAAATAAAACACAAGCACGAAATAAACGCAAGAAATTAAAAAAAATAGGTTGAATTTATAAAAAATAAATCGATAGAAGTGTGAAATTTTTAAGTTTAGAAAATTACTGTAAGTACCACGATACATTCTCTTTTAACACGCTTTCGAATTAGGGTCGAACAATGATTTCTCCTGCGTAACTCGCGCCACTATAAAAACGTGCATTATCATTCCCCATAAAATATAAGGTAGTTGGTACTTCATCCAATAGATAAAATGTTTGACCATCAGCAGAAGAGACAGTTCGTCTAGTTGTCGTAATACCATTAGTTAATTGATGATGATGTGAAATTTTGTTTGGTTCACCAGCCATCGATTGACTCTGCATTGTCACGTGCTCGACGCCTACTAGCACTCGACACATGGTGTTTCGTGCTGTAGCTGATCGTTTTTGCACTTTAATCGAGACATTTACGAAAAGAGGGAACTTTAGAATGCACAAAGTGGACTCGAGTTAGTTTAATGAATAATTGAATTTATTTAATATCTTTTCATATTCTAACATAAAAATTATTTATGCAGGAAAATTATGCAAATTTCGAATATTTTTTCTACTTGCTATATACTGTGGTTTTATATACGTATTATGTATTTAAGATATTAAATATATATAGAATAATAAAAATGAATCTTACCTCTTGAATAAATTGCTTATGATTTGGAGAAATGACGATTTCGTCATTTATCATATGAAGTGAATAGACGTGACCGGCTCTGATTTTTATATCTACTTTTGATAGATTATTGAAAGCACCTAAAGCTATTTTTTTAAAACAATTATCTCATTAACATGTTCTTTAAGCAATTTTTAAAGTAAAAATTTTTTCATATAATAAAGGCGTACCCATTTTTAATTTTGTCATTACACTTTCAGCTGAAATTTGAGGAGATTCTTCCAAAATGGGAATAGCATCGCCAGCATATCGATATAGTTTTTCAGTGAGCCATGACTCAACGATGAGAGCAATGTTTTGTAAAGCTGGTTGCATATGGTTTCCAGAATGTGGCACCTAATATTTTAAAAATAAAAATTAGAAAAATTAGGCAAAAATCAAACAAAACAAAACAATAATAATAATAATAATAATAATAATAATAATAATAATATTATTATTATTATTATTATTATTATTATTATTATTAATATTAATAATAATAAACTACCTCATAAGAACAGGTATTAAAATAATAAGTTTTTTGAAAACTGATAACATTCCCAGATTCCTGAGAAAATTCATTTGAAAAATTCGCAAATTCGGGATCATTTATGGTAGTGTCGAAACTTGGTGATGTAATATACGACTCGTCAGCTTCGTCATAATAATCCTCCCCTTCAATTGAGTTATCATGATTGTAAGTGAAAGCTTCACGAGAAGAGTCACCATCTGTTATAAACTCTTGATCTTCATCCATTGCATATTCATTCGGTGGAGTTGGTGGAAAGAATGTGTGTCGTGATTGTATAGATTTATTATCTATAATTAATTAAAATTAAAAAAAAAAGATAAAAGATAAAGAAATAATTAGTTCAAATATTGACAGATTGACATTTGGTGTTGCCAAGTTTTTCCCAAATAAAGACAATGAAATTGCGGACTGAGTATTTTTATAAACAAACAAAGTCAGATTAAGCAAATGGCGTAACTAAAAAAAAAGATAAGATAAAAAAGGTAACATGTGTACAACAATGTCGTAACTTTGTACTAACGATTAATGGAATAATAATTTACGTAATGGTAGACAAAAAAAAAAAAAAAACGATTTTAAGGATCTACAATAGACTTTCAGCCTAAACCGAAACCGTAAACTGATCCTATGATTCTAAAGAGATAGAGATAGGAAAAGAAAGAAAGAAAGAAAAAAAAAAAAAAAAGAGGATAAAGTATTTACCTGAAGTATACAAAATGGTATATGCTGGATTTATGGTCAGGTCCCTGAGTCCGGTCAAAAGAGCGGTGTCCATTTTTTTATTTTTTGTAATAAAGAATTAAATAATATGATATAGCACGTTATTTTGATCACAAGAAAGAGTTTTAGAGAGTCAAAACACGAGATATACGAGATATATTGATAAAAATAAAAGTGAATTTCGTTCAAAGTAGATTTTGATGATAAATTTCGAGTATAAAGTTGTATAAAGATTGTTTTTTCTTGCGAAGATTAGTAATTGAAATTTTATTATTTTTCGTCTTTAATTTGTTTAATTAGGAATATGATAAATTGATATGAATTAAATAAAAGACATATAACGTGAAAAAAAAAACCAATATTAAAGATAAGAGAAGGGGAGGCCGCAAAAAGATAAAAGTAAGGAGAGCAAGAAGTGAAGCGAGGGATCATATAGGGATCAAAAAAATTTTTTTTAATCTGGTGCTACGCCGAAAAAAGATGTATAAACATCATTGGAAGTGAAAAGGGAGTAATGTGCATATTGTAAATAAGGTAGTATTTTAAATCACATAAATAATTATCAGATTTATTTGTTATTGATTCGGTTATCAGTTATTAATTAAATGTAAGATAGTATTTTTTTACAGTATCTTTGCATTAATGTACAGTAAATAAAGTATAATAAGTTATATATAATAATTATAATAATTATAATAAGTGTAAAATATGTTGTAAAATATGTGTATAAAAAAAATAAAAAAAAAAGTCCGAAAACAAAATAGTTGGTTCAGGTGTTGTGGGGAATACTATTATTCTCACACATCCTATTGGCTAAGCTAATAAAATGCCATGTTTCCGTATTATATACATTCTAATTATTTCTAATTATTTTAATTACATTTTTAGAGATATTGACTCTTGTGACACATTCGGTCCGACGCCTAGAAGTTGAATATATGTCTAATATGCAATTAATCGTGTTTTGTTCTTTTTGATTGCCCAATGCGCATATAATATAACACAATCATGCCATAAACCCGGATAATTTTAATCGAATACTATGTAATTCACCCCTGAAAAAGGGCAAATACGATCTTTAAGTGGTACGATGTAAGTTAGGAAAAGAAAATAAAACAATGAACAGATACAATGGTAGAATGAATAAAATGACAGCATATATGATTTTAGTTTATGAACTTGCAGATATTATGTCATGTATCGTATACCATTCAAATTTATTTAAATTTATTTAAATTTATTTGGTAGATCATTTTTACAACCATCTAAAAAGATCATAAAAGTCAAAGAAAGGAAAATATTTTGCGGGGAACTGGGCGTTTTTTTTTTTGAACAACAATATCTTTAACAATCTCATTTTAATTGTATTCTAAAAATATTTGTTTCGGGCTTTACCCCATACCCCTAATATGCGTTTTTACCAATCGTACAATAGTATGTTTGGCAAAAAAAAAAAACTTTGACGTCTGTCCTTTCTCTAATTTGTTTATTCGTAATCTTTCGGCTGCGTGTGCTGTGTTTATATGCGAATCTGTGACGTGATTGTTACGCGACTGTCTTTAATTATGAAGTAAGATAAAACGTGTTATCAACTTGTAAGATAAGATTAGATGATTTTGATATGATTCGGTTACATCACTTACCAAAAAGGTACGCACATACTTTCGTGTATATACAATATAATGCAACTTTTTCTTACTAAATTTAAATTTACCATAAATGTATATAAATTAATGGTGGTAGCAACCAATTAATTAATAATGGATAAATGCTTTGTTATTTGGTGGCGTAAATAAAATGAGTCAGCCTGCAAATTCAAAACTCTGATGTTTTTGATAAGATTAGATCTTTCACTCAATGGAGGATTTGTAATTATAGCGTTCGAAAATGGTAGTATGACAAATTGGTAAATTCCGGATAAAATAGTTGATTTAAATGGTTGATTTAAATGCATAATATTCAACTATCGTTATTGTCTTATCAATTGCTTGGTGAAGTGTATGCAAAATTGTTTTTTTTTGCTTTTGTCGATCAATTTCCTATAAAAACCTTGTTAAAACGTTCTCTCACATCTTCTTTTCCTTTTAAAAGCATATGATGTTCGTTTGGATTCCTTCTGCTTTGAAAACACAAGCTTTGATGCAATTTTCGTATGATATTCACCTGAATATTAAACTGAATATATTAAACTGAATATATTAAACTGAATATATTAAACTGAATATATTAAACTGAATATATTAAATTGTAAATTTTTTATCGTTATGTATACTTAATCATTGATGTATTCTTTCTTGTATACCTCCCTCTTTCTAATGTCTACTTTCTCGTCCTGCAAAATATATAATATATATTACCATTTTCTTTCTCGGTTCCATGACCGACCTGTAGTTTTCTTCAATTATTATTATATGATTAGTTAATGATTTGACCCCATGGTTTTATTTATCCTTGGATACTTATATTTCCTGTTGTGAATGGGAAGGTCTGTCACATTTGGTAACCATTTATGGTCATAATGAAGACCGTCAAGTTCGATTATACTTTTTTTTGTTCATGTCATGTGATGCAACGTTAATAATATGTGCAGCAAGCATTTTTGGACGCGTTTTATTCCTAGATTATTGACGCCCAAGCAGTTTCTCTTCTATACATGGTATTTGAGCTCTCAGCCTCGAAAAAAAATTTTTACCCACCCCCAAGAGTGGGGCATTCCTAATTGAGATTAGTGTCACCTTTTTCTATCGTCCTAAATCAAAATTTGATTAACACAAATATCGCGCAATAATATTGCTATATAACAAATATAGACCATTTTAATAGTTTTAATGATATTCTTGATATTAGACCATTTTAATAGTTTTCATTATTTCATGTCTTATTAAAATTTGTTAAACTTATAACACCTTTTTTTGCTAAAAATATTTGATTTATAATTACAACCTATATGGTTAATTTTTTTATATATAAGGGAGAGTCGGGTATTATGGCGCGGGTAGGTAATTTGGCGCACCAAATTTTTTTGCTAATATCTCGAAATGTAGTGATCAGAATCTAATTATTTTAATACTGTACTATTTGATTCGCCTTATCAAGGCGAATCAAATAGTGTTAAATTCGGTTTATTTGAAGCAAAGAAATAATTAAAAAAAAATTTATTAATATTTTGGGCTCCGACCCATAAGAATTTGTTCATTTTCACGCGAATAATAACAAACTTTATAAAATTTTTTATTTATTGAAAGAATATAATCTATCTTTACTAAATATTAAAATAATAAATAACTTTATTAAAAATTTTTTAATTTGATTGTATTAATTATATAAGTATTACAAGTTAAAATAAAGTATATTAGATAAATATTAAATTTTGTATTTATTATAACAACAATAAAGAAATATTAAAAGTTAGTAAAGCTATTAACTAGTAAGCTATTAATAGTTTAATTAACTTTTAATATTTATAATAAATAAATTTTTAATATTTTTAGATATTTTTATATAGAAAATTTATTAATTACACGTAGTGTTTATACACGGGATCAGGGCCAATGATTTTCTGCGTTTCACGGAATGCCGCAGAAATCACGGAATTAGGTTGTAAACACGGAATGTATTAAGAATAGCACGGAATTGCCACAGAAAGTAGGGATTTATAAATTATTTAGTTTTTTTTATAGGTACAAGGTTCTAAAAATATAACCTTCGAAAAGTTTCTATGTAGAAAATAAATAAACATGAAATACGAGCATGGTCGGGCAAAACTTTTGAGAAAAAAAAATATTTTTTCAAATAAAAAAATATCGCAGAAACCACGCAGAACCTATAGAAATACCACGGAAACTGTGCAGAATTAATTAATTTTATTCGCAGAATTGGTATTTTAGCACGGACGGAATTGACCCAATAGCACCGCAGAAAATCACTGGCCCTGCACGGGATACTAATTTATTGATTTACAAACTTGTGTAACATGCCAATCAAACCAATTTTTACGAAAGAAAATTAAACCCTTGCTTATAGTTAGGGTAAGGGTAAGTTTGGAATTTGGGTGAGAGTAGTTTATACTAAAATTTTGCAAGGAAATTTTTTTGTTAGAAGCCAAAAGGTGGTTTCCTAATCAAAATTTTGAAATAATAGTTGGTTTTTTTTATACCCGTGTATAGTGTTGTCAATAAGACAGCTTTTGACAGTAGTTTGGACAATTTTGAACAATTAAATAAAGTAAAATTACTGAAAATTTATTTTAATTTTAACTGGAATGTGTTTAGCACCCCCAAAAATATATTATTATATATTTTTTAGACAAATTTATTAATTATTAAAGCCTGTATAAGCTTTGGACACTTGGACATTATGGACATAGACAAGGCCAAAAAAGGTCTTGGACAGCCAAAATGTACAACACTGCCCATGTATATACACTATGTGTACAAATAGAAATTCTCTTTTATATATTATCCGGCAAACTCTTATAATTATGAAAATTTTTCTTGTTATTTTTTTCATGTATTACAAGGTAATTATATTTATTTGAATTAAACTCAGTTAGCCAATGACGACTTGAGAATTATGATCATGAATTGTCGAATAATACTAATATTAAGTCATGCATTGATAAAATTTGTCTAGCCATGTAAATAATTGGCTAACATGTGCCGCTGCGTAGCACTGTCAGCCAATCATTTACATGACTGGACAAATTTTACAATATTAATTAATGTATAATCAATATTATATACTTATTTTGTTTAAAACTTTGCTAAAACTTGTAAATTAGCAACTTTAAAACTACTTTAATTTTTTTTTTTTTTTTTAAACAATCTTGCTTTTATTTATCTGAACTACTATTTAATACAATAAGTACCAAAGTACTTATAATCTTTATAGTTAATGTTCTAGTCTAATAAAAACTCACCAAGAGTACAAAGTACTACTTAATGTGACCTGCTATAACAACTGTTTGTCTCACAAAGGGATCCAAAACTTGCTTCAGATTTTGTACTATAAAGATACTCTCTTTAATCATTTAACAGATTGTTGTATACTGTGTCA